CGGCATATCCAGCCATCCCCATCGCTCTGCTACTTCCGCACGCCTGGAATCCCCAGCAACCCCGCTATTCCCCAGCTCCCACCGCTGCCGGGACAGCCCAGGGCGTGATGCCAGTTCCCGGGTCCTGGGGACTTGGCACCCCAGGGACCCGCTGCCCCAAGGAAACACCACAGGCTGTGGGGTTTGCATGTTTTAATGATGGTTTAGGAGAGATGTGGATAGATGCGAGCTCAGCCGAGAGCCGGGAGCTCCGGCAGTCGCCAGCCCCGCATGCACACGCTGGCGTGAGAGCAGCCGGGCACACACGAGCCCGAGCCGGACGGGCGGGCAGCTCGGCACTGCCCCGTGTGCCCCACATCCTTCTCCACACCAGGCTTTCCCAAGGGCTGCCACAGCGGACACTGTCATGGAGCATGATCATGAAGGGCACAGCGATGCTCTCCTGGGAGAGAGCTGCGTGCGGGGAACAAGAAATGCTGGGAGCAGGGACATGCAAGCAGTCCTGAAGGGCACTGGTCACAGTCACCTGGGCGAAATCGGCGTTTGAGCCTTTCTTAGATTTCTCCGGCGTTCTCCGTGGACTGTGGGCAGCCACCAGATTTCAGCAGAAGCACAACATGACTGATTTGTATGGAGCAAGCCACATGGGAGTTACCTGAAACCCAGAGTCCAGTGGGACCAGACCCTGCTGGACAACGCAGCCAGAACACCTGGGCCAGAAATTCTTCATGGATGACATGAAGGGATACATCTAAGACTAGAGACATTCTGCAATATGGTAGGTGTCTTCTGGAAACCCAGCAGTATCCTGGGTGAAAGCTCAGGAAAGAGAGTAAGACCTTTTCTATTGACCTTTTAGCTGAAATAAACTAGAAAACATTTATTGTTGTATATTCCTAAAAAAAGAAACAAACGGAAGTCTCACAGGGGCTTGTGAGCATCACTTGCAAGGTGCACCCATGGCTGCAATGCCCAGCCACACACACATCCTCTACTCCACCTCATAGCTAGTATTTTGGGTAAAACTTTAGGCACTGTGCTCTCTGTCCTTTATCATTTACCTTCTGTGCTTTATTTTGGGGGGCACTTTGAGAGAAGGTGGAAAATACACATTTTCCTCCACAGGATGTTGCTTATTCCTGAAAAATTCAGCGAACAGAGGATTTAAGTGTCCCTGAAACACTACCTCCCCCAAGCCCAGCTGGAAAGGCAGGCTATGAATAGTTGCAATGTCTGTAGTTCTGGCTCTACCACCAAGCATTATCTGAATTTCCCTTTTGAGGAGAAGGATGGGTCTAGCATCCCAGAAAATGAGCATTTCTTGGGTCATTGTGATGAGGGAAGTTTTCTGTTCCTGTCTGTCCTGGAGTTCACGAGAGCTCAGCTGTCACCTCAGGCACATCCTGGATGAGAGCGATTGCTCTGAGGTCTTCCCACTGCTGGGCAAAAAACGTGCAGTTTTTAAGCTCAGCTAAGCTAACATGAAAATATCAATGGAGATGTGGTGAGCTTTGCAAGCTGAGTAACAACCCTTAAGGGCCTACATTTAACTTCTGTGAGTTACCACCACATTTCACCCGGACTGCAGTGAAATTCTGACACCTCTGTGCTGTCATAAGGTTAAACCCCCAACCTTCCCCCACACCCTTCTCCCTGCTTATCACCCAGCCCTTCCCATCAGGATTGCCTGCTGCATGAAGACCTCTGAAATCTCCATCATAAGCAGAGATGAGTACACCAAAATGCCAGGTTCTCCTGAGGAAGAATTCTTCTGAGAAATTCCATTGCTTGATGCACTCCCATTACACACAGGCAGCTTGTAACCTCCACAATGTCTTCTTGTTTCTTTGTTACGGGGAACAGGAACCAGTTTTTTTCCATGACCATCTTTCCCTGCCAGAGGGATGTGCTGGGCTCACACTGTAAATTCAGATAGACTTCACAGAGTGGGAAACGTGATAGGGACGTAGGTTATACTTGAAGTAGATGTTAGCTCTGAAATTCAGACATCTCAAGGAATTTAACCTCTCCTTCCCCCCAAAGGACTTGATTTCCCATGTGTGTGGCAAACAGGAGTCTGTCTCCTGGTCTACAAAATCTCACCCACCTTCCTCCTAGCTAGGATCAAGTTGTGGACTGTGATCAGGGCAGAAGATTGCAGTATTTGTCAAACAGAGGAGAATAAAATTGGCTGGATTAAACAGGATTTGGGTAGAAAGGTTTCAAGTTCAAGCCTCAAGTAAATCCTGAAGGTGAAATCTCATAGAAGAGCCTAAACTCACTGCAGTGCCTCAGAAGAAACTGGAATCAGGTTTCTGCTACTTGAAACAGCACAAAGGTGATTCTAGAAATCCTACAGCCTGCCAGTGAGCTTGAGGGGGTCTCTCTACCTCTTTTAAGCAGAATCCAACTGCCTCAGACTGGGACAGACACTGATTCAAATCTCAATAGGAAAAGGGATAGCTATAAATAAAGAAAATCGCCTTCCTTGCTTGGGTTAATTCACCACCTGCAGTTCAGCACCCTTCTGCCAGCCATTGCCTGGGTGTTCAGCCAACCAGCTTGGAAAATGACCTAAGGAAACTGACTTCTTGGTGTTCCTGGTTTTAGGCACCAGGAGAGCTTACTCCTTTCTATGTAACAGAGCAGGAACAAAGGAAAGGAGTCACCTATTTGGAGCCGAGCTAAGGCACTAATGATGCAGTAGGTGAGGAAAGAATAAACACAGCGGGAGGAGGAGGACAACTCCATCGTTCTCTCCACTCGATTCCCTTAAAAAACCCAATGTTATCTCTATAGAAAAGGAGGAGCTAATACAGCATTACAGTATCCCTGCTGGGGTTTCATTTTAAGGTTGTTTTGCTGTACTCCCAGAGAGATTTGTTTCAGGTATCAAAGTCACAGGAACTGCTTCTAAAGTGGATTTTGGTGAATGCAGGCAGAGTTATCTGAGCAGCTCTGGCTCATCACAGCTCTGTGAGGATGCCTGTTTTGTTGTTTTTCCCTGTGGTCTCCCATAAAATATGAAGCCTGTCTCTATCACTTTTTGGCATGTTACTGAGATAAGCCACCAAGCTGTGCTGACCCGAGGGGTGCAGTCTCTCCTGTTCACAGCAGTGGCAGTTGTGTTGTCATCACAGCTTGATGAAGATTGATGATGACTGGTTCATCTTCTGCCCAGTGTCGTTGAGGGGGAAAACGCTGGAGATGGCTACATCCACAATTCCTTGGCAGAGCTCTGCATACAGCTTCCTAAGAGATGAGAGAGAGAATCAGATACCCAGAGAGGACAAACCAGCAGACCCCTAGCCAATTTTTATGTAGAAATGCGTTTTCCCAGCAAGATCTACAAGATCCTATTCCCATTACAAGGAGTTTCAGAGTGGCAAACAGGAGAGCAGTATCTCTTCCACCTCATTGTTTAAAACAACAAATACTTTCTTTTTCCATGGTGATAATTCCTAATATTGCTCCCTTTCACAAATCACCACAAACCCCATTATCTATGTTTACAGTCAGGTCAGGCTTCTGAGCAGCAGAAAGAAAGATTCAGGCCCCAGACTTGAGTCTCCACAAAATGCAAAGGGGTAGAAAACATCTCAGGGCTCCCTGTACCAGCCTTCCAGTTCTGGGAGCTGGGATTTACTGCACCAGACCCTGCTCACACAGGAATGTGCCCCAGAGGGGCTGCTCTGATGCATTCCTGGTTTGATGAAATAGTGTGCTGGGGTGCAGCTGTACACATCAGCTTTTGACCAGGCACAGGGGCTTCACAGGACCCTCAGATGTGTGGGATGTGTTTCACCATGGCACAGCTCATGCACAGCTGCATTAGGGAGAAGAGAGACAAGTGTCTGAGATGAGTTAACAACAGCTTCATTTTCTGCTGAAGGAAATGCATGTGTAATCTCCCTGAATGTGCTGGCATTTGGGACATATTTAGTACCAAAGCTGTTTCTCCCAGGATTAACAGTGTCTTTCATACCATGCCATTGGGGCTATGTAACAGTAAGATGTTTTTTCAGCTCCTGGGAATGTTATTGCTTATAGCAGCCAATTTTTTCCCCCTATTTAAATGGGAGCTGTGTGATACAGGTGCTATAAATAAGCCTGAACAGGAGAAGTCACAAATAGCCAAAACCTACCTCAGCTGCTTACAATCTACCAAATGCCCAACAAAGCCCTTGCTCTTCCAAGAGGTACAAAACAAACAGGGCACTGCTGCAATCCAAATCCACCCAGCAACAGCCAAATTCTACCCATACAGCAAGACAAGAAGGTGCAAGGCAGTAATTGCACCACGATCCACATTGTGAACTGGGCATCCTGGACACAGAAAGCTCCCCAAGTTCTAGTGTGATAAATTCTCACATCCTCTAGTGTGAGGATTCTCAAAGCCTGACTTAAAGTTGCACATTTGTATGCAAACACTGAGATAAGGTGTGCTGACTTAGCTAGGCCATGGAATAGAGAAGAGAGATTGAACTGGAAACAAGTTTCAAAGGATGGCCTTGCAAACAGACCAAATATTTTGGAGAATCAGAACTGTGAAAGATGCATTGTAGCAAGACCACGTGGGGTAAAATAACAGGGTGATTTGTGTTGCAAGTATTAGCAGCACTGTGTCACAAAAGCTAATTGGTGTTTTGAGGAGTGTTAGGCTAATTTGTCAAGCGGTTGGAACGCTTTTTGGAGAGTGCAAGAAAGCGGGGAATTACCCTAGGGATTGATAGCTCTCCTGTAAGGAAGGAGCAGTTGAGATCTCTGCACCTCGGGTTCCACCCAGAGGGAGACCGATATTATCACCTGCTGCATCACAACAGGTAGGATTTGGGGAACATGATTGGGCACAAGATGTCCAAACAGTCCAGAGATATTTGTAAGACCCTTAAGACTCTGATCAGAACTAATTCCTGTAACATTTCGAAACAAGAGTTAAAAGATTTGTTATCTTGGGTTCAAAAGCACTTTCCAACTGTGGATGACACTTCTGTATTCACCTTTTCTCTATGGGATTGGGCTGGACTCAAATTATAGAATGCTTTTACCATAAATTGAGACCATTCAGCTGCAAAGCTTTTGCCTGCTCTGACTGATATGTTTAAACAAATAATCGAGCCCTCAGCTTCCACAATCGCATCCGTGAATCCCTCCATGCTTTGGGCCGTGCCCTCCAAACCTCTCCCACCTTCGGTCCTAACCAGAGACATGGGGACCCCAAACGGGGCCGTGGCACCTCTGCCTTTCACAGATTCTAGTTTGGAGGAAGAGTTTAACCTGTCACATCCTGGCCCTGTGAATACAGAACGGGAACTGGGCTCCCTTGTCTTGGAAAATAATTCAGAACGACTTACTGATTGAGCTAAGAGAAGATGTAAAGTCCTGCAAGATAAAGACTTTAATTCAACATATGGAGAGCTCCTTGCTATTCCACCTAGGTATGGGAGAAATAATGCTAATCCCTGTTGGGAACCTCTGTCACATCATGACATTAAAGAGTTAAGAAAAGCTATTAAAGATTTCAGATTGGGCTCCCCATATTTTAATAACGTGGTGAGAAGTATATTTGATTCTTACGACCTAACACCTTCAGACTGTCGTAATGTTTCGTCTATGACTTTAACTAACTCGCAGTATATTCTATGGGGCTTAGAATGGCAGAAGCACCTTTAAAGATTGATAGAGAGCGATGCTGGAGGTCCTAATGCCCAGCTTAGGATCGGTCAATTGGCTGGAGATCCCCCCAAGTGATAAGGCAGAGGATCAAGCAGAAGCTTTGCCTACGGCGGTGCTCAGAGATATTAAAAATGCAGCATGTAATGCTCTTAACTGTGCATCCTGGGAGAGCCCATAAAAATGCCTATTCTCTGATTCCACAAGCCAAAACTGAACCTTATGGTGCCTTTTCAGACCATTTTAACACAGGCGGTTCAAAGGCAGTGTCCTGATGGAGCCGCACATCCTCATTTAATTAAAAACCTTGCCTTTGCTAATGCAAATGATGAATGCAAAAAGGTCATTCTAACTTTACCAGACCAGCCACCAACAGTGCCACAAATGCTTGCTGCTTGCAAGCAACTGCTCACTCCACAGCATATCATGACCATACGAGTGAGTGCACTGGGGGAACAATCAGCAAAATCCCAAGATTCGCTGGGAAATAAACTCGAAAGAGCCACGGAGTCTCAGACAAAAATTACTGCAAAAACTCCCGCTGCTTTACAAGTGGAGCCCATTAAAGAGCCATGTTTTAACTGTGGAAAACCTGGTCATTTGAAAAAGAATTGTAATGAGGCAGTGAAAAATGCAAAATCACCTAATATTTGCCCTCGGTGCAGAAAAGGGAGGCATTATGTGAACCACTGTGGCTCCAAAGTAGACATCGATGGTAAGTAACTCTGCCGGGAAACCCAAAAAAGAGCGCGCTGCGCCACCGCGTGATGAGACAAATAATGGCAGCTCAATCACAAGAAAACACAAACCGAGTGCAATTTGTGAAATTGCCAGTCACCTCCCAAGAGACCCCGACTTACTACCCCCAGGGGCACGATGTGAACTGGCAACTTCTAAATTAACATACCTTTTAAAAGACTCTTGCCATGAATTTATACCCACAGAAGTTACTGGTACTTCACAGCAGAGATAAGACTTTAATTACAGGCAGAGACAAGAATGTAATTCTTGGACTCTCAGTTTTTTTCCAGCTGTTGTTTCAGTAAATTGTAACGAAGAGTAGATGGTTTTAGCTCTTGCTTATAGTGCTCCAGTGGTAACTCAACCAAAACCACTAATACCTATTGCTATTGCATTGCCAGTGACTATAGCTAAACAAGACTCTGCCAGTGACTATAGCTAAACAAGACTCTTTTATTGACAGACTCTGCTTTTAACTAAGCGAGCTGTGTACTGAGAAATGCCTGGAGAGCCTTCGCCCTGTGCCTGATGTCCTTTGGGTACAACAGTGTCAGCAGTGAACAGCCACAGCTGACTTGGAGTCTAACACATTGTGGTAAAACTTTTAACACTACAGGCATGCTGGACACTGGCACAAGATGTCACTGTAATTTCTCATGTGTTTTGGCCGAGCAATTGGAGTTTAGTGACACCCATGGGTGCTCTCATATGAACTGGAAGAGTCACGCTGCATCTGCAAAGTGAATTCATGACTACTGTTACAGGTCCTGAAGGGAAGACAGCGAATATCCGTCCCTTTGTGGTGCAGAGACCCATCACAGTATGGGGGAGAGACGCACTGTCTCAGTGGGGAACAAAAACAGAAGGGAGTTTTTGATGGGAGCCACGGCGGTACCTGCCACTCTAAAGCTATCACGGAAAACTGACAACCCCGTCTGGGTGAGTCAGAGGCCTCCAGCTGAGAAAAAACTAAGTGCCCTCAAAAAATTAATAAATGAACAATTACAAAAAGGTCCCATCAAGCCCACAAATAGCCCTTGGAATTCCCCAGTGTTTGTCATTCACGAGAAAACTTCTGATTCCTGGAGATCACTTCATGACTTGAGAAAGATCAATGAAGTGATAGAAGACATGGGACCCCTGCAACCTGGACTTCCTTCTCTTTCAATGACTCCAAGAGCCTGGCCTCTTGTGGTCATCGACTTAAAAGACTGCTTTTTCAACATTCCACTGCATCCTTAATTTGCCTTTTCAGTTCCAGCCATCAATAGAGGAGAACCACTACAGAGATATCATTGGTCAGTTTTGCTGCAAGGGATGAAAAATTTACCTACAATTTGTCAATATTTTGTGGCACGAGCTTTATCTCCAGCCCAACAAAAACACCCACAGTCAAGAATCTGACATTACATGGACAATTTGCTCATTGCAGCACCGATTCAAAAAGAAATAGAACAGACTCCAGACAGTGTCATCACTGAAGTTCAAAATGCTGGATTGGAAATTTCTACATCAAAAATACAAGAAATCCCACCCTGGAAATATTTAAGATGTAGGATGACAGAACAAACAATCAAGCCACAGAAAATACAGTTCCCAACCAGTGTCAAGACCTTGCAAGATTTACAAAACTTTAAGGAGAAATTAATTGGATCAGACCTGTTTTAGGAATCATTAATGATGAACTTGCCCCACTTTCTGACTTACTTAGAGGAGACTGTGACATCAGGTCTCTTAGAACTTTAACACCTGAACTCAAAAAGACCTTGAAAAGGTCACTGAAGCTTTTCAAAAGAGACAGGCACATTGTTGTGCTCCAGAAACGCCCTTTCTTCTTGCACTGTTACGAGAAAAAAATGCAACTTTATGGTCTCATTTTTCAATGGGACACTTCTGAAAAAGATCCTTATTTAATCATAGAGTGGGTTTTTCTTCCTTACAGGTTTCCAAAAACAATTTTTACAACCATGGAGATGACAGCTGTAATTATAATTAGAGCCAGAATAAGACTGCTAACTACGGCAGGCCAAGATTTCGTAATTATTTATTTACCAGTGAAAAGAGATTACCTTGATTGGGCTTTGCAAAATTCAGAAGACTTGCAAATTGCATTGTTAAATTATTCAGGTGTTTGTTCTATTCAATACCCAGGACACAAATTGTTGCAAGCAAAATTAAGTTTCAAAGAAAAATCCATGTTGAGTGAAGAGCCTTTAAGTGCTGTGACTCTCTTCACTGATGGATCAGGGAAAACACACAAACCAGTAACAGTATGGCAAAATCCAACTACCAAAAAGGACCAAAACATGGGAGTCAAATGTTCAAACAGTGGAAGGCTCTCCTCAGATTGTTGAATTGGCTGCAGTAGTTAGGGTGCTACAGCTCCTTTCAGAACCTTTTAACTGCAGATTCATCTCATGTTGCTAGTAATGTTAGAGGAATAGAAGGATCAGTTTCAAGGGATGTTACAAATCATACCCTCTATCATTAGTTTTCATGAATTTATACAATTTTTGCAATACAGAACTAACCAATATTTTGTCTCTCATGTCAGGGCTCATTTCTTGCTTCCAGGATTCATGGCAGAAGGAAATGCAAGAGCAGACAAACTGACAGTGGTTGTTTCAAACACTCTGGCAAACATTTTCGAACAAGTGAAACTGAGTCATGCCTTCCTCCACCAAAATGCACAAACACTTCTGCCAAAAGGTCAAGCAAAAACCATTATTGGTGCTTGCCCTGATTGTCAACTTGTACAACCTCCTGTTTCTACAGGAGTTGTCAACCCACTAGGCCTGCAAAGTCTGCAACTATGGCAGACAGATATCACCAAATATCCATCTTTTGGGAAACTTAAAAATATTCATGTGTCAGTAGACACATGAATATTTCAGTGCAATTTTTGCCTCTGTCCACACAGGAGAAACAGAGAATAATGCCTGTCAACACTTCCTACAAGCTTTTGCTTCATTAGATACAAAACCAGACAATGGCCCCGCATACACATCTCAAAATGATGAAATACATGGGAAAGCCTTTTGCCAAGGGTAGCTGAACAAAAACCTGGAGTTAGATCAAACGATGTATTGGTGCTTGTTACTTTTGCTTGCTTGCTTTTGCAGTGCAGATATGCCTGTAGATCAACCAAAAACAAATGTTTGGGTTGCTTTAGCCAAGCCAGCAGGCTCAGACACCATATGTTTGACCAATTTGGGCCCACACAAACCCTTTCTAACTGTTTGGTCAGTGTACCAGTGCCAGACAGAGAGTGGCCAATACCTAACCCTGACAATTACTGGTGTGCAGTTGCCAACAAGACAAATCCTGTAACCAACTGGTATCATTGGGCCCCTGATCTTCTTAAAGCACCCTTTGAACCTCAAGAATTGGAAATTCTTGGTTCTTTGACAATGGAATTTTGTGCTGAGTTTCAGTATCAAGGAGATCCACAATTAAATGTTACTCCCCATCATCCTTTGTACAGAAATTCAAGGTTTTGGTGTGAGTGTATCACCCCAGTGCTGCCCAAGGCTAAGACTCTTGACCTTGATGAATTCCCACAGCAACTGCCAAACGGATATTGGCTCATTTGTGGAGATAGAGCCTGGCAGGGCATTCCCTTCAAAATTAAAGGTGGCCCAAGTAGCATAAGACAGCTCACTGTGATAGCACCTAGTGTTAAAAAGGCCATCAAGAGAAAATACAGAGGAAAGAGGTCTGCCTATCATTATTAAAAAAAACTGTAATAGCAATTTTAAACCCTGAAGCCCTGCAAAATGAGTTACATCAGGTGTGTTTTTACCTCAGCTTGCCTCAGCTGTAGCATCAAAACAATTAGACTGATGGGGTGTTGGTTGAGCAAAGAAACCAGTGCCACTTCCTGTAATTAGTGATGACAGATGTTAATGCTGTTAGACAACCTTACAGAACAGAGCTGCCATCGATTTTCTCTTACTGGCACATGGACATGGTTGTGAAGAATTTGAAGGATTGTGTTGCATGAATTTGCCTGACCATTCACAATCCATCCACAAACAGCTTAAAAAACTGAAAGATCTGGAAAATCAAATTGAAACAGATAATGGATCATGGTTACATGATTTGTTTGAAGGATGGAGCTTTACACCTTGGCTAAATGAACTTTGCAAAATAGGCTTATATGTATTGACTGTTATAGTAGCAATATTAGTGGTAGTGCCTTGTGTACTGCACTGTGTGCAGCAGATGATGAATAAGACCATCAGAGCAGTTTTTACTGTTCAAGAAATAGGGGGAAATGTGAGAAATGGAATTGTAGAGGATTCTCAAAGCCTGACTGAAAGCTGACATAGTCTTGTACATCTGTATGCAAACTGAGATAAGGTGTGCTGACTTAGCTAGGCCATGGAATAAAGAAGATGTGAGAGAGAGAGAGAGAGATTGAACTGGAAACAAGTTTCAAAGGATGGCCTTGCAAACAGACCAGGTATTTTGGAGAATCAGAACTGTGAGAAATGCATTGTAGCAAGACCACATGAGGTAAAATAACAGGTGATTGGTGTTACTATTATTAGCAGCATTGTGTGGCAAAAGCTAATAGACTGAAAAACATTTTTAAAATATTGTAACCAGGAAACAGGCTGGCTTCTGATAGAATGGTGTTGAGTTTTACATCTCATCTGTTTCACCCTTCTATGAGACTAATAGTGAAATTAAATCTTTTAAAGCACCTCTCAGTTGCCCTGTTTCTGTAGAGCTGGGATCTTCCAGAACTCTAGTCCTGAAAAAACAGCTGAACAGGCTATCTGGTAGGTTTGAGCTGCATTTTTTCTCTACTGTTAGTGATGATCTAACATAAGTTAAACAACATCTAATCTGATCAAATTCTAATGCAGATGTACAGCCTGTTCTGTTTTGCTGGTGTGTTTTTTTTTTTTTTTTTTATGTGATACAGATGCTCACTGAGCAAAAATTTCTGGTCTCCTGCAGCTGTCTCAGTCATGTAATACAGCACCTCCTGCTGTGCCTACACAGAGATGTGCATGGCCAGGGCTGTTTGGCTATTCCAGCCTCCCCGTGGCTGCTGGAAGAAGCTATAATCCAATCTCTGTGATAACAAAAGGGTTAATTCAATTTTTACTGTGCCTGTGAACACTTAGCAGAGAAGCAAGGCATGCAACATCTGCTTTCCCAGCAAAGATGGCTGGAAGGTAAGAAGACATCAGGCTCAGGAATGCAGGCACAACCAAAACAAGGACTTAATCTGGGAAGGTTTTTTGGTAATGGGGAAATTATAACATGCCAGTAGTGACTGTATATAAGCCAGACACTTGTAAAATCACATGGGCATATAAGGTCAGGAGTTATCCCCCATGTGAACTGAATAAATGATGCCCTTCTTAACACTAAATTTGTATTAAGGAGTCTTTATTCCTGTTTTCAGAGATTTGGTAACATCTGCAGCATCCATAGTGTTCTCTGGGGTCCTGCTGCCTGCAAATTTAGTCACTCACTTCCAGTTGCTGCCCTTAAAGCTACTCATTAAACATGTATTTATATAAAGAGCAGCCACCAGTGACTCCATAAGAGAGACTGAGAAACAATCTGACTCCCAAAACGTTTAATCTGCAAACATAACTTTGACCCAAGAGTAATAAAAATGACCCAAGTTAAATTCAAGCCCATTTGTTCAAAAACTCAGGTTAGTGCCCCATAAAGAAACTGGGGGATACCAAACACAGAGACAAGAGTAATGAACCCAAACTGACTGGCATTTAGAGCAGTGTCCAGTGTTAGCCTGAAAAACTCCCCTGCCATTCACTTTCTTTCACCTTTTTCACCTGGAGCTGGGACATAAGCTGTGTTTTGGGTGAGGCATGGTGGCATCACAAGGGTATAACACAAACTGATTTACTCACTGGGCACATGCTGGGGCCCCGTTGACTTCTATTAGCCAGACCTTCAGCTCCTCATCCACCATGAAGTCAAAGCCAAAGAGCTGGAAGCTCTGGTAGTGAAGATGCTTCGTGCTGATTGCAGGCTCTATACACATAAGGCAGCTTCTGTGAAGGGAAAATCAGAAATTAATTTTCTGCTGTGGACACGTGCCTTGCACAGTTAAGTGAGAGGGGTTACTCTGGAACTGCCCCAAATTACAAGTTCTGTCCAACACATGCCCTAGTAACCAGGTCCCTGCACATGAGATCCTGTGACCATGAAAATCCATGTGGGGTTACCCACTTAGATAAATCAAAGTGATTTAACTCACTTGGAGAGCAGTGTCTCACTCACCACTGGGTCAGGCAAGCTGAAAAACATGATGTGCAATGCCACAAAGGGCTGCAGCAGGGAGCTGCCACTGGATGCTCACCTGCCTTCAAGTCCCTCAAAGACTGTCACATCTTTTTAGTGCAATTAACAGCACTGGGGTACTGGCAAAGCAAATTCCTTCATGGACTGCTTTGTCAAGACCTGGATTCTCTGCAGCACTGAGATCTCTCTCCAGGCACTTTCTATGCCCAGGAAGGAACTGGCTCTTATGGACTGAGTAAGATGAGCTAAGCAAAAGCCAGGTGCTGCTGCTGGCTGATGGTGGGGGAAGCACCCAGAGTCTGCACACTTGAGTCCAGCTTCACTCCCCTTCTCTCACCTTTATGCCTTTTTTGATCTCAGCCTCTCCCAGCCCTGTCTTCTGACCTGCTCTCTTCCCTTTTCACTCTGTCCTTCTCCAGCCACAGCTGGCGAAACGCAGAGACGCGGACACAAACCACTGAATCAACAGAACCCACAGAGGTGCCTTTTCACTGAGCAGTGACATGGGGGTATTTATGGCCTTATCTTAAATTTATGCAATTAAGACCCTTCCCTTCTTGCTCTCTCTGCTTCCCCAGATGTATCCACACACACTCCCTGCCCCTGAAGGGTTATGCTCTCCTAGGCAGCAGGCAGCTGGCTACCTTATTATGTGTTTGATTTGCAGTAAGATGCTATTCTCAAGCGTTGTGTTCAGGGCATCCATCAGATACTGGTTGAACTCCTCGAAGAACATTTCATTCCCTTCCTCATACCGCCCGTAGTTTTTGGAATATTCCTTCTGAATGCAGTGATTGGTCAAGTGGCAGGTTTTGTCCTGGAAATTAGCACTGTTATATGGTTCGGAAGAGGTCCGCAGGACACCCTCTCTGTAGAGGTAGATATTATATTGATGATCCACGAGAACCCAGCTCCTGGGGGACAGGAGAACAAACTCTAGTCTCAGTGGCTCAGAAAGAAACAGCATGAAAAAGAAAGCTGGTATTACAAAGGCAGAAAAGGTTACCTGATGTCAAACTTGCGATGCCCTGGCTCTAAAAGTAAAGGATTCTCCAGGTATTTCTGAATCACATGCACTTGTCCCTGCTCATCAATGAAGTCCAGGAGCTCTGAAGCCTCTGAAGAAATCAGGATCCCTTCCCCTGGCACAGAAAGTTGAAGACAAAATTAGGTAGAGGATCCTTCAACCTTTGCTGGAGCTTTTTCAGGCCCCTAGTGGACCGTGGCTCATTAGCCCAAAAAGTGACATGCAAGAACCTATGGCCCAGGATCAGCCAGTGCCCAAGCAATGTCACAGTCACTCCATGGGAATGAATCTGTGCAGGGATCTCTTTCCTGCCATGCCAAAAGCCTCAGGCTCCCTAAAACCAGGCCCAATGCAAATGGGAACCAAGGGGATGTGATACAGCCTGCCCAGGACACTGTAGAGGGGTGGTCTCTGAGATGCAGGGCAGACAGGGACCTGGGCAAGCAGTGAGACAGCTGCTTGGCTTGAGGGCATTTTATTCTCTTTTACATATTTTTATCTCTTCCTACCTAGGCTTGGCAGGGTACTAGGGTGTGGTGGTGCTTGTATTTGGCACTTGACAAATTTGGTTTTGTTTTTTCCTGGTTTTCAGCAGTTTATAGAGTACAGGGGGCTTGGCACATTTTCTGTAAAGATTTTTGCCTTTCTTTTTTATTTGGGGAGAGAGGTTTGTGGGTTTTTTATCCCAGACTCAAGACTTTCTTTCCCTGTCTGGCTTCTGTGGCTGCCAGAGGCAGTCACACATGCACACTTGTGCAGTGTTGCCCTGCTCACTGAGTTAATTTAAATTATTATTCAGATCATTGCTGAATAAGGAAAAGTACTATTTTAAATTGTTCATCCATGTACTCAGAGCTCCTGCTGTGGAAGCTCTTCATTAAAAAAATGAACTGTGCCATTTAAACACTCCCACATTCTGGCTGAAGCTGTCACTGCTCATTTCTTGCAAGAGTCCAAGTAGGAAACTTCTGTTGCAGAGCACTGAAGAGAGACCATTTTCCTTCTGGGATTTCATAAAGGAATGGCATGGTGCCATGAGGGATAAGCCAGCTCAGGTAAAGTTATCAAGCACTCCTCTGGCACTATGCCCATTCTTGAGGCATTAGTTAATTTTGTGGACTAAACCTGTGACTTAATTTTGTGCTGAGTGTTTTACTGATGAAATACAGTGCAAAAAATCCCCACTCTTCAAGGGGGCATCAAAGAGGTGATGGGGGTTTGAAGTACAGGCAGGATTTGACAGAATCACCTGATGAAAAATGCTCCTAGCTGTGATTTCTGAAGGTCACTGTCAGCACAGCCCTGCAGATATTCCCACTGTTCCATCCTCTGCTCAGCCTTCCAGCCCTACCAACCTCCCGTTCATCCCAGCACCCTGCACTAAAGAAAGTCTGTCATCAAAGTATCTTTCTCACCCATGCTTTATGCAGGGTGCAAGATTTTTTAGTCTTCTGATCACAACGGAGCAAGGCAGAACCTTGCACTGGCGCAACTTCAGGCTGTGAACTGGGGGAAGGAGGGAAACGACATCCCTAAGCCAGCAAAGCTGCTGCTCTGGGGAGATCAGCAGGCACCTGTTCCACACTGGACAGATGGCAAACCAAGGGGAGGGTCACTTCAACTGTGCACCCAGGCAGCAACCCAGCGAGGCAGCAAAGCAGCTTATGTGGGGCAGCTGTCAAAGGAAAAGCTCTCAAAGGAAACACCAAAACCTCCAGCCACAGTTGCAAACCCTTCAAACGTTTGAGTCAGGGCATCCTAAACCTTGAATTTTCCTCTTACTGATGGATGACCAAGCTTCTGTTAGACCTGTCCCAAGACAGAGGCTACTCTGCTTTAGTGCAGAAAAGATGGGCTCACACTTGCATGAAGTATCTGAAGAGTCTGAACCTGCTCAGCCTGCAGCAGACCAGCCTTTTCAAATGCCCAGATGGATTTTTTCGCCAGTTTACCACACAGAAACTCATTCTTGCACTGCCGTAACAAAAGGTCTCATCTCCCCTTCACTTCTGATGAAAATAAGGTGTTTTCCAATGCTTCTTGGTGACCCAGCCAAGAGAGCAGAACAGAGAGGGAAGCCAGTGTGAAGTTTTATCATGCAGCCTCCCTGCAGCCAGCGCTGGCTTTCACATTCTCTTCTTGCAAGGCTGCATCCAAAGTGACTCTGCAAATATGAGTAATATATGTGGGCTTGTTCTCTCTGAAAAGAGCAGGCCCTTCCTCAGGCTGGGCTCTGCTGCAAACATGGCAAGGTAAGTTTTTAAATGCAGCCATTCTAATAATGCACCCATGATAACACTGTAGCTGACAGAGAGCACACAGTGATCAAAGCACTGCATTTATGGCCGTGTCCAGCTACCTCACAGCTCGTTATTTCTGCTGAGTGAGTGATGGAATGTCTCTGGAACAAGGAAGGACACATTATCACTTGGGTATCTATTGATCTATTCAGATTAAATGGACAGACAGACACTGCATTGCTTGTCTTTGCTCTGATGCCCTCCCCTGAGGTTTGTGTGCAATTTCAACACACTGAGCTCGTGGCAGCTCAGCCAGTCTCTGTGGGACCATGGGCAGGCCACTGGCACCAAGCATCTGAATTTGGCTGAAAGCAGGATTTCCACCCAGGAGCAGGCAAGCTCAGCTGCACCATGGGGAGCTAGGCTCCTTGCCCTTGAAGGGTGCTGTCCTGCCTGCTGACCACCTCCCTCTAACCTGCTCTCCACGTTTCCCTCACTTGCTGGTCCCTGCAGCACCTTCCCGCAGTTTGAGGTGCATGTGTGGAGAAGTGGAGGCCCTTTCACTGCTGTGCATGTCCTGGGCAGCACGTGCACACCACATGGCCTGACAGGCATGGTGAGCAAAGCCCTTCAGAGACACAGCACAGATCAACTTGGCCCAGCCGAACCCTGTGACCCTACAGATCATGTAAAGAGTGAGGAATAATGAGAAATAGCTCCTGCTGCTGGAGAATGAACCTTTGGCACCAGCTGAGGACTTGGCGATCCACACGTTGCCTTCTTTGCCTTCCTGCCGCCTGTTGTAAGCTGCCAGGAACACTTCCCGCTCGTCTGTCCTCGAGTTGTTGATGAGATGGCGAATTCCATTCTGTGCTGGAGCCACGGGGGTCTTCAAGTTTGTTGGGTAAATCACATATGATTCAGGGAACCACGTGCAGGACTCTGATAGCTCAGGGCTTGTCTTGATTAGCCTGGTTGAAGAGAGACAGGCTGTTAATCTCCAGAGTGTCCCCATCTGCATGGGGATCATTTAATAAGGAAAAATCATCATTAACTGGGTTCTTTTGCCTGATGATGAATGGCAGCTCTCAGATAGTCTGTGATAGATCATCCTATTTTCCTTAGATCCTTGAAAATATGGTTTTCCTAAAGATATCATGGCAACCCCAGCCCACAGCAAAGCACTACTCTGAACCAGAACCTGCATGTTTTCATTAAACATTTTATTGACACCATGGATATCATGAAACTAACAGCTGAGAAGTTTCCATGTAACTAAAGCTTGTGGTGCATTCCCTGCATCATCTCTGCACAAGGGAATTGAGGAGGTATTTTTGCTGACACGGCTCAGGGCAGGAAGGATGCTGTGATCACAACTGGAAAAAGGGAAGCCAGAGCAGTGCTTAGCCCTTGATCCCATTCCCACTGAGATCAGACCAGGTGAACCAGCTGTGTAGGAAGACCACTGGGAACCTACAGAGAGCAAGGGCACAGTTACACAGTCTCACATCTCATGGTGTCTGGGATCCCTTGGACACATTCCTCTCCAGTAATGTCTGGAGGCAGCAGCAAATTCCTGTTAGCAGAGCTCAGGCCTGTTTTATTTCAGAGTCAAGAAAAGTCAAGGGAGCTGCCTGCCTCTCCAAATGCCTGTGCTTTGCTCAAAGCCAAAAGTAGAGTTCATGAGGTGCTGACTCTTTCCATACATTTGTGCCTCTCTGTTATGATGGCAGGAAGTCAGTGGCACTTTGGGAATGTCATTTGTTGTCCTGTGGGTTCCTAAGTAGCTTGATGCATGGTTGACCCTACAGTTAAAAAGGTCAGCCAAGCTGCAGGAGATAAAACCAGGTGCTTTCAGCACTCTAAGTAACAGGCTAAAGAGAAATCCATCTGTGGAGTGCTGTAAGTGCTTGTTTTAAAATACTCTGCCACTTTCTGACAAACACCATCACCACTGCCAGGAAAGTAACTGGGAAGAGGCTCTTTGCAGAGGAAGGAGAGGCCTTGGATCAGCACATGCAGTCTGCAGGACCACATCAGTGCGAGGCAGCACAGACTGCAATGGGCAACCAAACAGCTGAAGGAGACCAAGAGCTCTGAAATAAAGATACTCTAGTGGGAGCAGAGTTTGCATAGGGATGAGGGTTATCTACAATGAAAGTTCATCCACATTTCCCCAGGAGACCCTGGCATGGCAGGTCATGCAGAAATAACTCCCAGAGCTCTTCCTGGAGATGTCTCCAAGCATTTGTTTGTCCGGCAAATCTGATTAGCTAAGGGCACATTATTGTCTCTTCTCTGTATGAAACAGAGAATAAAAGGAGAAGGTTTTAATTAAATGTCTACAAGGAAAAAGAGCAGATATGTTTGGGTTTCTTTTGCCTTTTGATTTGGCTCTAATCTGATTCAATACACTCTGTGGTTTCAAGTAGATACAGCTCAGTGGAAATGGCATTTCCCCCGAGGTTACAGAGAGCCCTTTGTGCACACCAGCAGCTCTAGAGACCAGCCCAGGAGTCTGAGGACAGCACATGCTAGGACACTCCCAGGGCAGCTGTTCTGTGAAATACCCTCCAAACAGGTTCAACACTCAACAGGGGTTAGAAGAGAAGCTTCTGCCAAGCCCATCTAACATTTCAGCGAGTTTCTTACTTCACCAGAGATGCTTTGCGGCACAGCTTGTCTGCTCCCCTGTAGTAATTCACCAGCTGCACAAGTCCAGGTTCATGGCCTAAGAAGGGGAAACAGAGGTCAGACAAACTCCTCAATGAATAAAGGCAAAACAGCTGCTTGGTGCAAAGGATCTGTGCAGTAAGGGAAAAAAATGGAGGCTGTTTCCTTGCCCTGCACTACAGAAACAGGCTGTAAACTGGTACTGGTTCCTGTGGTTTCCTTCTTTTAGTTACAAAAAAACATGCAGTTACCCACTTGTTTTTAATCTGACACATCCATTTTGCAAAGGAAAACAATTTTTTCCTAATTCACACTGGGAACTGGCAGCACTACTCAAAAGTGTTCTCCATCTGCTGGTGTAAGTTTTTAAGAACCGAGATTTCAGTTAAACACAGGTGGAGGATGCAGGGAAACACACCATGACACAAAGATCACAGCTTAGCAAAGGGCCTTTTTTCTTTGTCATGTACAGCAGGATTCCTTCTTGGGCCTGATACCACAAATCTCTGGAAAACATTGAAAGACTGGAGTCTTGCTTCTTTCTAGAAGTTTGCAACAAGATCCGTGGATCTTGTTGGATACCTGGGAGTCTCTGCTCCAACCTCTTGTTCAAATTCTGAGTATCTCTAAAGATGCTGACTTCTGTAAGTCCTCGTCTCAGTGCTTGGCTGCCAACCTGTGTCCCCTTGATTACACTGGTGGGCCCTCCTATAGTAACTCCAGGATGTTTAAGCCTTCCTTGCACTGGATGGTCCCAAATTGGCCCCAGTATCCAGCTGTGGCCTCAGCAGTGACAAAGAGAGTGCTAAACAGATGGGTACCTCCTTTCCAATACGGAACTCCACACCACAGCCTGTCTGCCTTCATCTTTTCACACTACAGAAACACCTGTGCTCAGCTGTAAGATCTCTGGGAGGGACCACAATCCTGAAAAAGGATTCAGAGTTTTACTTATCCTACTTGGTGTCTGCCTGGGAAAAAAGGCCTGGAGCAAACATTACCTTAAACATCAGGCAGCTGCAAGATCTCAGAGTGAATATCTATTTTCAGCCTGAAAGTCACTTCCCTGACCTGGGTCACTTTTACTCACAAATCTTTAAATACAAGCTAGCTGAAAACCATCCTGCAGAAAAGATCTGTAACTTCAAATTTTCTTCTGTTTCCACTTTATCCTGGGGAGACACATCCTCACTGGGCTCCTGAGCATTGCTGTGGAGCATGGGCTGCAACGCAGAGTTGAGTGGCCAGCAAAGAGGGACCACAAGGCAGGAAGAGAAACTTCTGGGGCATGTTGTGAGGTCTGTAGCATGCATTTAGTGGGATTAACAAGCTGCCAAGGCACTGACTAAAGTGGCAATCCTTTCCTGGCCAGCAGGGCATAGAGCCCAGCATCCCCTCTGCAGCCTCTTCTTCCTTTCCGTCCCCTCAGCACAAACTGAGGGGATTTCTGATAGATGCAGACACAGCTTAAGGGCACAATCCCTCAGGAATTAGGTTATCAGTGAGAGCTGGAGGTCCCTGCAGCTGGGAAGAAGCAGTGGTGCATGCTGAGAGTCCCCACTTCTCTGCATGATCCAGCTTAGACCCTGGGTAATGCAAATCCCCACAGTTCTCTGAATTAATGTCTGCTTCCACCGAGTAGAGCCCTTAGGAAAATAAAGCCAGCTTTGATGCAACAGTTGCTCAGGAAGACGAACCAAAGAAGATGGAGCTTTTTGGAAAATGCACCAAAATACCCACGTTATTTTTGGTCTGAATTTACTGATTTCAGGCAACCAGTTCCTTCTATAGGAGGATGGTTTAAAGGAGCCAGTGCCAAAAGCATGGCCCCTCTCCACAGGTTATAGACATGTCTTGGCTGTGAGAAATGGTTTGAGTTTTTGGGCATCCCATAGCAACACAAGCTGAAGGGCTCAGAGAAGCCCTTCCATCACCTCAGGACACTTCTGGAGGATGGAAGGGGTTAGTCAGAGATGGCCACAAGCCCACCATGGCTGGATGTGCTGTGCATAACCAGTCTCATCAAAGAACTGCACTGGTTCTGCAATGAGGCCTGATGCTTACAGGTCCCCCACACTGGGCAAGTTAAAGCTCAGGTCTGCCTGCTGCCAGCACGTGCGAGCATCCTCACTGCCTGAGCCTCTCCTGGTGTTTCCCTGCCCACAGCAGACACCCTGACAGCAGGAGGTGACCAGCTGGCATTGTCGTGTGATGGGGACTTTCCACTCAAAAATGTGGAGGAGACAAGGGAGAGGTGCTGGAACTGGTGACTTAAATTGGAAAGAGCAGTCAGAGACGGGTCTCTGCTGCAAGAAAGGGGCTGCAGAGCCATCCTGCACCAGAGCTGCTGGAGTGAAGGGGCTCTGCCTCTTCTGATGTTTCCGTAGCCAGAAGCAGTGCTGCAACATCACCCCAGAAAGAAAGAAACCAGTGCCAAGATGACAGTGCATCCCAGCTCCCTGCCACGCCCTGCAACATTGCCAGTGCCTGGCTTGGCTCTCCCTGCTTGTGGGCACTCTCCCTCCCTGCTCCTGGGCTCTGCACCATCCAGCGGGGCAGAGGGCCAGGCTGGCTGTGCCATGGGACAGCAGCGTGCATGGCAGGCAGGGGACGAGCCTGCACAGAGCAGCTCCCAGAGCCCTGCATGTTGGCAGGGTGACAGTGGGGGTCAGGGAGCAGGGGAAGAGGTGGTGGGGCAGGGGGCGTAGGGGGCCCTACACACACAGGGCCTCTGGAATTACCCACACCGTGCTCCAGGCACGGATTAGTGCCATCACCCTCACCCTGCAGAGGCGCATCCGCACCAGCTCTGGAGTGAAGGTTTGAACGTGCCTGGCTGAGACCGGTTCTGCCCCCGGTGTCAAACAGCAGGGACAGCCCCATTACACGTCAGCTCAGCAGCGCAGTGTCCCTGCCCGGCGGCAGGCAGGGGGTGACACTGGAAGCGACCCCACAAGCTGCTCGTCTGCAGCCCCCGCGAATGCCCAAGGGCACTGCTGCAGGCCAAGG